ACAGACAATGTGATGTCAGCAGCATGAACTACCTCTGTACAGCTGTTATTTAATCCCACCTGGCTAACAGAAGGTCACAACTCCACAAACTGAATAAACATGTTAGCAAGCTAAAACTGCACACACCATGTAAACAATAAACAAACAGCTTTAATATGTCCTGTAACTAAACCAACCACAATGTTTCAGATCAGTTTCACCAACACGTTTTCAACTTCTCAATCTTTTGATGAATAGCTACATCCTGTTTCATTGGGAATCAATTCAAAATGGCCACCACAGCACATGACCATCACAACATGGCCACAGTTTGCTCAGCTCTGCAGGTATTGAACCAAAGGTTGGTGTGGTAGTAGCTGACAGTCATTAATGTGCACGTTTGAACACGTCGACATCTGTTCTTGTCACAAGATGATTTTGGTTTTCTTCAAAGTGCCCGTGACATTATTTAGATAGAAGAAGTCAAAGAAAACACCTTTATCTTTAAGAAACCTGATGTGTCACATAACTGGTWTATTTTCTTCTGAACTTGGCTCAGCCAGTGAAACAGGAAGTGACATCAAAGGGGAACTCTTTAAGGAAATGAACACCCTGGTCTAAAAACATTTAACTCTGACAGATGTTTCTGTAGATTATTTTCAGTCTCTGATTCTTCTCAACACTCTGTGATGTCAGTTTGTCAGTGCTCGTTAAATGCAGACGTTCTCCTCATGACATCACTTCCTGTTACTTCATATGCAAATAACTCAACAACGGTTCATCTGTGATGTGAAATTTATTTTTGCAACATGTTATTGATGCCATATTTATTACAAAATTAAACTGATGTCACAGGCACGTTAAGTTAAATCATAAATGTTGTTACTCAGTAGATTTAGTCGTGACTTTTCAACTCGGTGTCAAACTTTTGATTTTTATTCTTCTTAAATAACTGTATTTTTTTATTGAAATGTGAAATTTTCTGTATTTTTGTCAAGTAAAACAGGTTTTTGTCATGTGAGCTGACAGTTTAGTCCAGCTGTAATAAAGACAAAGAGACACG